ATGCAAAGGCATTGTTTATCGATGAATTAACAGTTGGAAATAATATTCGAAAAAAATTAAGTTATACAGAGATTATAAAATATTTAATATTTTTTAATTGGATGAATAAGCTTAATCGTTATATTTTTGGTTATATTCATTGCACAATAATTATATAGTCTAGCGAAAAATATTTGAGAAGGCTTAACATTAAGTAATAAGGATAGTTATTTCCCAACAGGCTTGGAAAATTACAGGTGCAAAAGACATGCTCGAGTTCGAAAAAGAAAAAAAAAATTAATTTGCATGAATATACTTCGCAACCTTCAGTTTCTTGCGACAGTCCCACTAAATTGCACTATTATTCAAAAGCTATAAGAAACAGGAAGTTACAGACACAATTAGCGGGATACATTTTGAATTGAAAGATTTAAAAACGTTTTTTTATTTTTAGATTGACCTTTGAAAAATATTTCCAAAGAGACTTGAAATAATTTGTATTAGGAATTATTATTTCTTTTATGCAATACTTAAATTTGCGTCATATGTAATTTAAGGTTTGAATGTTTCACTTAAGGTTTAAATTATTTTATGTAGATATATTCTTCATGCTAACCTTCATGCTAATATGATTTTTTTAAGAATAGAATTTTTTTCGCCGTTGTAACAATATTCATCTTATTGTCTTTATTCAAGGAAAAGGTCTTATGAAAGAAGGATACTTTTAAAGCAGCGTGATAAAGAATAAATATTTTTGTCTCGTACAGCTAGCATAAAGAGCTACTGAATCAATATAGAGAATTCAGTATTTTAAAATTATATTTCCCCAACATAATTTATTTATTTTCTTCTGTTTAAACAATTGACATCAGTGGTAGTTTATGTCATAAAAATAACTTTTAGATTTCGGTAAAATTTTTTATTGGAATTTCTGATCGGTTTACTATTTAAAATATAATTTTTACAAATTTCTTTTTGAAAAAAATCAGCTTTATAATCAGAGAAAAAGCATTAGTTAGTTGTCTTTGTTGAAAACCTATAACCATCTATTCTATTAAAAACCTATTCAGTCAAATACTTAACAAAAAGAAAAATAATGAATATAGACTGTACCATGTTTTAAAACCTGGAAATTTAAGGAATAGAGTATTTAAAAAAAAATCCATTAACATGCTTTATAAAAAAAATCAGATTTACAATTATGAATAAATTTTTCATAAAATCATTTTTGACAATTTTGTTGCTAAAAATTATTTTTTGCGAAAAGTAGCTCAATAAATTAATTTATGAACACAAAATTATTAATTATACAAATATATAACTATTTGTTTTATTATTTTTTAAATTTTTACTTACATGTTCATTATGAATAAATTGCTTTAAGGATTATTATAACTATATGTAACAAAAAATATTTTTATAAAGTGGTTAATTTAAAATTACAATACATTTAAAAAACAATGATAATAAAAAATTATAAAATTTATGTATATTTGCTGTATCTTGATTATATAAATTTAAATTAATAACTAAATTTATTCTTAAACTGATAATTAATAATAATTAAACGCCAATATCAAACAATTAAAAAAATAGTGATTTATTTGACAGTAAATTAATAGAGATTTCAAACACCAGAACTAGAATCAACCTTTTCCCAGAGTTATTATGTTGTGGTATGAGGCAATTAGCCAAGGTAAACATGAGTGTAGAATATATAGAATACTAAGCACAAAGAGCATGTAGAATACTAAACACAATTTTGCGCAATTAATATCAAGAATCTTATCAGGGGAAATTATCTTGATTATCTAATTAAACTTGGCGTGTTATGTTGAACGATCAATATTATGAAGAGATGCGAACTCAATAATAAAAAATAAAAAAACTTGTTATACAATGAATTAAGCATTAACTGAGACTTATCGTATTACTTAACAGGTACTATGAAAGAGTTGAGTTTGTTGGAATAATACAAAAAAATATATGAGTAAAATGTACAAAAAAGAGCTCCCATTTAATTTGAAATTATACCAAATAAACTAAGCATATTGTCGAATATTTTTCTTACTATTTAACTTTTTAATAAGTTTATTTAAAAGAAATTACGTTGAAAATGTAACAAAGAATTTGTAGTTAAAAATAAACAGCATTGTCAAGTAATGTTGGATGCAATGTAAACTGACATTTTAAATGAATTTATTTAAATTTCAACATTTATTTTAAACTTAAACTTATGCTTTTCTTTTCACTTTTTAATGATTAAATTTTCAAAATTTCGAACAGCAAATTTGTTAATATTTTACTTTAAATTATAGCTAGAAGATTTCATGAAAGTTCAATTAGGGTTCTCTTTTCCAGTTTTAATATATAAGCTAATAGGAATGATTTAAAATTGGAGAAATTAATACATAATATCATGAATGCTTAATAGAACCTTTTTAATACATTTTTCTTCTAATAATATTTGAAATAAAATTTATTTTTTTATCATTTTACTTATGACATGAAACAAATCTAACCATTAAATAATTATTTTTATATATTACAAAAGAAATAGAATATATATATGTATGTATAAAACTTCAATATATTTGTGTTCTTATTAAAGTTTTCATGTAATCTGAAACTCGTTCTATGTAATATAATTAAAATTCCCTTTTAAGTTGCCTATAAATGTAAGACAAGAAAAATTATAAGACACAAATTTAAAACCTTTATGAGAACATCATTGTCTGTTAACGATATTAAAACAAACTTCAAATTGAAATTAATTTCCTATAACTTGATATGAAAACGTAAATCAATATAAATTATTAGAGATAAAGGAAATATATATTTTTTAAAAACTTGTGCTATACAGTTTGAGATACTATTTTTGTATTAAAATAAATTCCCCTTCACATTCCAAAGGGAATAAATATAAGTAATTTTAATTCAAATCATTGAATATTATTTCTAGTTAGCCTATTTTAAGCTTTTCTTTGCATTAAAAGTTATTTCCCACTACTTTGTATGGAATGTAATGGATGGTATGTAATGGAATGGATTTAAACTTTTTCAATCAAATTAAATTAATATTCTTTCTTGTTGTACTGAAATGTAAGACAAGATAAATAAATTCTGTTCTTACTTAATCTTTTTTTTTTGCAATAAGATTAATATTCTCTTCAGTTGCATGGAAATTAAAGATAAGTTAAATGAATTCCTTTCACCATATATAAACTTTTTCCATTCTATAAAATTAACTTCCAATCACGTTGCTTGAAAATATGAGACAGACCAAATTATAAGACATTAATTCTGCATATTTTTGATCTAAAAACTTTTTTCCTACAATTCAAAGCACACTTTATGTATTTCAATGAATTTGATTGCTTGTCTGACTGAAATGTAAGACAAGATAAAGTATGAAAAAGATGAATGCTTTTAGATATAAATGAAGAAAACAGGTGTGAGAAAGAGAATTTTCTATCGATATCTCAGTTTGATAAAATACCATAATACGATAAGAATAAGTATATAGCCTAGATAAACTTCTCAAGTGTTGTAAGACATAGCTTTAAGTAAGTTTGAAACGTGTTAAATATTTTGTGATCTTACTACAAGAAATAATTACCTGGTTTCAAATTCCAAACTTTTATTTAGAAGGACAAAAAACTAGTTTGCATTTAACTAAATCGAAACATCTAATGAGTTGCAAATAAATTTGCTTTATTATTATAATTATAAGGGGCATTTAAAATTTTTTTAAGGAAATAGAGTTTGAGGTAAAAATGACAAGGAATATGAAAAAAAGTAAAAAACTAACATAACTTTAAAATAGATAACTTTGTATAATAATATGAAACATTTTTAAAGAGTATGAGAAAATCGTGTTTGTTATTTCAATCACAGTTTAATTTTTTCTTTAAACTTTTCATTCCGAAATATAAAATAAATTAATGGTTTTCTGCTTAAAAACTTAACAAGGGTTAAAATTATTAATACACTTGAGATAAAAAAATTATTAATTAGTTTTTCTTACAGTAGTTTAAAGCAAAAGATTTCTTAACAAAAATTGTCAAAATATTGTTTAATTAAAATTTATTTATATTCTGACAAAATTCGATTTGAAATAAATACTTGAAAAATACAGAAGAGTTTTGTAGTTTGAGAAATGGAAATAATAATAATAATAATTATAAAGACTTATTCTTCCGCGTGGTTAATACGCGTATAAATTATAAATTCCAAAAAAAAAATTAAATAATATTTGAAACATAATTTAACAATAAGAGACACTAAATAAATTGAAATACAATTTTTTTTCGTATATGAATTAATTTCACTAAATGTGTAGAATATTTTTGTTTATCTCTTATCTCCTCGTTATTCAATATATAGTGTAATGAAACTAATGTGAAATATGTGAAACTAATGTGTGAATATTTTTTTTCCAAAAATTATCTATTTTCTACATTGATAAGAAGGCCGGCAAATTAATTAACAATCACAAATTTAAGAATGTTGGCTTAGTTATTCAATATATATATATATATACAGTNTATATATATATATATTGAATTTTAGTCATCGTATTTTGCTAATGATACAATAAAGTGAAAAATAGAAAATAAGATTTATAATATTATTAAATATTACAGGTATTACTTTAATTAAGAATTTGTCGGATATAAAATCTGAACGAACAAACCTTTAGATAACTTCTTAGAGGAAGATTTTATCATATGCTTCAATATAACGTTATAAATTTAATTAAGCACCACGCAAGTTTGTCAAAAAGCAGAAAAATCTATAGTTTTCACTACAATTAAATTAATAATATAATTAAATATTTATAATATAATCATTTTTTAAAAATGATTTTTTTGGTCAAAATAGCATTGCAATCCTTAAAATCGTATTTCGTTATGTTAAAAATCCTTAGTCTTAAAATTAAGCTCAACATAACGTAATTTTTCAACTCAAACAAAACAACATCGACGGAAACTAACACAAAATTGAAAAAAGTAACTGACCTGATGCTTCCAGCCGAGGTAAGCAAAAAGGAGAAAAATCCCGAATTCTAAATATTCCGTCTTCATGCTCTCCAAGCAAAACACCTCATCCTCTGATACGCGAAAACAAACACAACCAACCTCACTGATTCATCACCTCGTGAACGTATCAACTTTTCATCTACAGTATCCTTTGTAATTCAAGAGAGAGACGAAGCTTCCCTACACTCCGAACTAGATTACAGGAGTATCGCGTTTGAAGTGGATGATAAAAGGAGAACTGGGCTTTAGGTAAAAGTTTTCCCTTCCAAATGGCCCAGGACGTCCCCGCGCCACCTGACGGACAATCCCGCAGTTATAAATCTCTTTTTTTCTTCTTCTTTCCCTTCTCTAGTTTCTCTTTCTCCGATTGTTAGGGGTTATGTAAATATAACGTCATGACTTTGTAAAAAGAAAAAGTTTTTGAAACTTATCTAAAGGTAGAAAATATAATATATTTTCAATAATAATTTATCGAAGATTATTATTGTTTTTTTTTTTCTTGATCATTTTGAATTCTTTTTCATTGTAGAATAAAAAAGCTATTTTATGCTTTTTTTTTTAACAGACTTTGTATAAAGAAAAGTTCTTGAAATTTATATAAAGGTAGAAAATATGATATTTTTTCAATAATAATTTATCGAAGATTATTATTGTTTTTTTTTTCCTTGATCATTTTGAATTCTTATTCATCGTAGAATAAAAAAGCCATTTTATGCTTTTTTTTAATAGACTTTGTAAAAAGAAAAGTTTTTGAAATTTATATAAAGGTAGAAAATATAATATTTTTTCAATAATAATTTCTCGATGATTATTATTGCCTTTTTTTGTTGTCATTTTGAATTCTTGTTCATTGTAGAATAAAAAAGCTATTTCATGCTTTTTTTAAATAACTTTGTAAAAAGAAAAGTTTTTGAAATTTGAATGGTAGAAAGAAAATATAATATTTTTTCAATAATAATTTCTCGATGATAATTGCTTTTAAAATTTTTTGTTGTTGTCATTTTGAATTCTTTTTTATTGCAGAATAAAAAAACTATTTTATGCTTTTTTTTGTATTATATGAGAAAAAGCTAGAGAATGATTAGTAAACTTGAAATGTTGAAAATGAAGTAGTAATATATCAATAGAGTCTTTTACGGATGGCTATTATTATTTTTGTTATTATTCGTACCACAGAATTGATTTACCATATACTCCACCCAATCACGGTGAAGCCTCTTCTTTCTTATAGGGCTATATCTTTCAATTATTTTGGGAGTAATGTTAGGAAAATTAGTTTAGACCTGACGGTACAGACAGCTCCTGAGCTGGGAAATCATGCAGTACTTCAAGAGACAAGAGCTTTTGATTTTATTCATAAACGGACATTGGAGGCAAAAGTATCGCCTATACGTGATTAAAACTTCCTCTGAAATATAGAGCAAATTCATGCAATATTTGAAATAGTTACTATTTTTAGAAAGGTGTACAAAAATTAAGAGATCTTTTTACTTTATATAAAAAAATACTTTAAAAATTAAAAAAAGTGATACAAATTTTAAAGAAACTTTTTATGTAACAACAGGTGATGATTGTTTGATACGCAGGTAGCAATGCACCTATTTTTGCTTGCAACTGTACTTACACTTCAAGTACTCATCCTTATTGTCTTATTGTACTTGTAAGTACAATAAGACAAAACTTCTAGCAACGAGAAAATTAAATAATGTTTTCCAAATTCCCAGAAAACAATAATTTATTTTGATTAATTTCAGTTAAATATGCTCTAATAAAGGGGAAATCGATTTATATGAAATTTCTTTTTAAATATTGAAATAATTTTATTTATTTTTATTTTGTTACAGAGAAATGAACATTAGTCATGAATAATATGTGTTTTTTTTTAACTGAATTCCAGAGCAAGTAAGGTATACCAGCTGTTGGATTGAGATTAATCCTTTAATTAATAGTTTAAAAGCGAAAACACAACGCATTCAACTAACCATTGACTTATTTAATCGGTACCAAAGTACCGTGAAAAGGTACAAAGAGTCATATAATTGTATCTTAATTTAACGAGAAACAGAAAATTGAAAATAATAGTAACCATGGAAATATTATATCGTGAATGAATAGTTTCAGAAATAGCGAAAGATCGAAAATTATTAAGAAACTTCGTATCGTTTTAAATATACAGTCCCTTAAAGCCGCCCTCTGACTTTAGCAGCGGCAGCAGCCCCCGCCACAGCCGCCACGGGGATAGGGGGGGAATAAGGGTTGAAAAGGGGGGTAAGGGAAGAAGCGACGTGTGCATCTCGGGAGGATGCGGGAGTTAGGATGGATTGTGTCGGTTAACGGAGAATGGATGCACACGGCGGATGCTGGTGTTGAGATTAAGTACGACATGCTATATGTTTGCAAAAGATTTCTTAAGAGGTAAAAAAAAAAAAGAACTTTTTTTTGTTGCAAATGGAATACAAGAACATAAAAAATTGAAGTTTTTTCATATTGCCCCTGTAAAATTGGAATGAAGAGAATGAGGGGATATATTTTTAATCTAACTTTTTTAATCCCTTATGTAAAATAATTAGTCTTACACTTTATCAACATAAACTGATTAGGTGTTACTTTTTTGTTAAATATAAAGTAATAATTTTATTTCACTGATATAGAGTGTAAAAAGAATTGGATACCATCTTTCAGAAACAGGCGAATTAATATTTATAACTTCAATAAAGATTTTTATTTAAAAATAATTAGTGTCACAGAAAAAGAAGGAATTTTTTCTTTTGAAAACGTTTTGCTATATTATTCATAATTACTACATAATACACATTAAAAAAAAAGAAAAGAAAACTGCGAAATTAAAAAAAGTAAAAATAATTTTTAGCAGAATTAGATAAGTTTTAACAAATCTTATACAACTATTAAGTACTGAATTTGGATATAAGTTCACCATTAATAGAATACTTTTAGTTTCAGAATAATTAAAGCACTTAAAATTATAAAAGTTTACATCTAGGACTTGAACTAATACTTTGAAAATATGAATTTTAGTTGTTTTTATTTTAAAAATCATATATTTAAAACTGATTGCTTAACCAAGAAACTTTTGAGCAAATTTAATAAAATGCAAAGAATTATATTTCACTCTTTCTTATTTTGATTCTTTTATTTAGTACCGATTCAAAATATTTTTTTAAAGAAACGTACTATTACATTTGACATCATGTTAAACTATTCTGTTGAAAATTAAGAGAATTTTCAAATTTGATCTATTATCTTTTGAGTTACTGAACCAATCTAAATTAAGTTTTGTATAAACATAGGTTGATGTGATACAATTAAAATAACCATTTATCTGTTTTAATACAAGCGCATGATTTTTCTAAAGAAGCTTCATCAAAGTCAGAAATTATGAAGCAGTGATAACAGAATTAAAAAACTGATTAAAAAAAATTATGGCTCTTTTTTATAGATATAAAGAGTTGTGCACAGTAAAAAATTTCGAATCAAATTACGATAAAATCGATTTTTACCGCAACATGTTACGGAACAAAAAAAATTATATACCGTAGTTTTTCCAGCAATAATTACCGTAAAAATCACTGAATCATTTGAATTAAAAAATATTACTGTATAAATCACGGTGTGATAATTTACGGTCACGGATAATGCACCCTAAGTACCGATAATTTATACCGTCATTTGATGTGGAATTTTTTACAGTGTACAACGTGATTTCATACATGAAATATCACTTGTTCAGCAATGTTGTTTTCTATTCCTAGATAGTTTTTATAAAGGGATTGCGAGTTCTTTTTTCTTTCATCACTGCATCTTAAACAGGCTTATTAAGGTTGGCGAATACTTTCATTTTTCTGAAAATCATTTTACAGATGGACACTGTGTGACCGCGCTCTATTTTCCATCATTAGAATAAAATCAAGGTCAACTGCATCTTTAAAAACTTACTTAAAAGTGATGTCACTTTCTAAAAGCAAATATAGGGTTCTAAAATTTTATCTACATACACTGAACAAAGTGCCGTTCTCAAAAAAACACGGAGATATTCTACAAGATACCTGCTTAAACTAACAAACCTCTACTGTTATTATGGTCAATTGCACAGTGGACCAGCATCCAAGGTTTCGTGACCAAAATTAGTATTTCGATAAAATGTGTTTCAAAATTTGGGATTTTTTATTTGGGTTTTTTTCATGTGCAGATAAATTGAATTCATAGTTAAAATTTTAAAATACACTAAAAATACCAAAAAAAAANACAAAAAAAAAAAAAAAAAAAAAAAAAAAAAAAAAAAAAAAAAAAAAAAAAAAAAATAGCGACTGAAATACGGCGAGCAAAAATTAGAAAAATAATATAGTACGTTTAAATAATTAAATATAGCAATGAAAATATAATAATTTTTGTAATTTTATATTAAAATGAAAAGCAAATTACATTTCCGAAGTAATATTACAGAATAACGCGCATTAATTACAAAATAACGCGAAAACACGAAGAAAAAAACATAATTTTTGTTTTTCGGTATATTTAGTCCACCTTTGCAATACGGGTAAAATGGGGCAGGTTTTTTTTCGAAGGAAGAAACATCAAAGAGGACAACAGAAAAAAATTTAGCTAATTACCTCGTGGAACTTTTTGGAACTAAGTTTCGAAAGTCATTCAAACATTGTAAAACGTCAAATGATAAGATATAAACTATAAGTTTGTCAAGAGTATTAACCGATCCGGAATGATTATGAATACTTAATTTGGGTTATATTAAAAATGCCTACACATATTTTAGTTGAAAATTTTAATTTTTGTCTTTTGGCCAAAGATCATGGTCTTCTGATCCACAGTGAATTGAAAGGATTCCTGCTCCTCTCTGTATGTAAGTGAGAATCATTTGAACTAACGATCCACATCTTGATGTTTTCTTCAACTTCTTTAAATTTGTAAGCTTCTAATAATCTTTCTTTGAGAGTTCTTCTTATCATCTTGAGAGATGTTTTACAAACACCACATATTTTGGGAATATCACAAAATACACTTTTTATGTTATCTTATAAACGTCGTTGAACAGCCGACCCAATTTTATGGGTTTACAACTACTAATGTTCAAATCCGTAGCCTTGTAATTTTGAACCCAATCCAGAAGACAAGTGAATTCCTGGATCTAGTATTGGGAGAAATTTTCTTTCTTCGAGGACTTTTTGATAGAACTAACCCGTATTTGCGTTACATGGAGAGTAAAACCACGAGAACCTCTCATG